GTCTCGTGTTTAAGTGTTAGGGTAATTGAAATTTAGCTCTATCAGTTAGGAAAGCCATATTTATAATATGATATTATTTCAGCTGAATGTCCTATACAGCTTGGATACAAAGAAGACTCGCATAGTAAAATATGTAGCCTGTATAACGACACCATCCTAACTTGGCTGGAAGCTCAAATCCAATGCCAACAGGAAGGAGGGTTTTTATTTATGGCGGACACACGTGCAAGTCAAATGGTACTGCAACATTATTCCGTTAGTGGAGGTATTTGTTCATAACATTTCAATCGATAACATTTTAAAAACAATTAATATCATCCTTTCAATCGGTCTACCATGCAAGTTCTGCTATCGCTCTTCAACATATTCAGTTTTAAGGAAACTGCCGAGGATTGCCGCATTTGCTGTTCAAAATCTAGTCTAGTAAAGTTCCCAGGGCGGTGGGTGTAAAATTCCGAATTCCCGAACCGTCCGAACTGTCCGAATTGGGTCAGAAAAGACAAAAAAATCGAAACTAAATTTGCACAAATTCGGGAATCAAAACAGTCAACATCAAAAAACGAATATTTTTAAAATCTTTCATTTGGTCAAATCACAATTTTTTTTATAATGCCGTCGATGAATTGATATTTTTGATTTTTAATAAATATAATCGCTATTATTCAATGGACACTTTTTGTTGTCTGTAATCGAAGGCGTCTTCCCATTCCCATTCCCAAGTCACAAAATTTGATGTCAATGTAAATGATGGGAACAGGCTAACGTGCAGGGAGTAAGATGCCCCCTTCCCCTCCCCCTCTATCACAGTGTTTCAACCCTTGACTGCAATTGACACATTATTCTTGTATCATAGAAGTTTGTATCTATAGCTAAGTGCTTAGATTGCAGTCTAAATAAGTATGAAATAAATAAACCATGCTTTCAGACTCACCTTTTTTATACGCCCACATGGAAATGTGGGCGTATATTGCCGTCGCCCTTGTCCGTCGGTTCGTCCGTCCGTTCACATTTCTTGTAGGTGTGATAGAGGCTACAGTTTTTATCCGATTTTGATGAACCTTAGTATGATATATTGATGAGATTTCGTTCAAGTTCGAAATTGGTAATAATCGGAAGAAAGGGTTCAGAGTTCTTGTCCTTGACTTAGTAAAGACGCGTCAAATTTGGCTTGTAGGCACAATAGATATTACAGTTTTTATCTGATCTTGATCTTTATCTGAACTTGGTATGCATGTATATATGTATGAGATCTCAGACAAGTTCGTAATTGGTAACAATCGGATGAACGGTTTCAGAGTTATTGCGTCAAATTCAGCTAGTAGGTATGATAGAAACAGTTTTTATCCGATCTATATGAAACTTGGTATCCATCTATATATTGATGAGGTCTCGGTCAAGTTCGGAATTGGTAATAATCGGTTGAACGGTTTCAGAGTTATTGCCCTTGACTTAGTAAAATTGTGTCAAATTCGGCTTGCAGGCACGATAGAGACTACAGTTTATTGCCCATGTGTGTACAGCAATGAGACATTGTTCATGTTTGAATTTGATGATAACTTATATTTATTAAAAATCAAAAATATCAATTCATAGACGCATCAGTATAAATTAGCACAGTGTACAAGAAAAATAAAGAATAAAATTGTGATATGATAAAAGCTTTTAAAAATATTCCTTTTTTGATGGTATTTTTTTTTTTTTTTTTTTTGAAAGCTTTTATTACTAATAATAGCATATTTACAACGTATTTCTACTACAAAGATTTTTAATAGTAATATAATAATATAAATAAGAATAATAATATAAATAAAGATAATAATAATATTTATCTGTTTAATTTCGTCAGTAGTAAATTACAAAAAATATTGCAGGCCAGACCATCTCTCCATGTGTCTTTCAAGTTTATCGTCATTCATCGCTATTTGTTTTTCATTTTCTTCAATTTGTTTAAGTCTCTCATTGAAATGTAAGAGGTTGGGAGTGTATGAAATCTATTAATTACTTATATTTTCCGCATATTGAATAATTTAAGATAATTATTTCCAATGATACAATGGCTTGAGTCGAGATATCATTTAATTTACTAAGAAGGTCATTCCAAAATGGTTGTAAATCATTATATTAAAAACAGAAGTGTTTTATAGAATCATATTGATCACAAGCATCACAGTTAGGCGATTTTTTATATTTGATTCTATATAAATACGAGTTGGTTGCTATTAGTTTATGCATAATTTTAAATTGGAAATGTCTTAGTTTTGGATCATTTGTAAGTTTGAATGTATATTTTAATGCTTTTAGGTTATTGTTACGAAAATTAGTCCATTTACCTAAAGGTGAATCAATGTTTTTCAATTTTCTTATTTCTATATACGACTCATGACTTATTTTAGTAAAATTTAATAACTTAAGTTGTTTGAACTATACTTGTT